GAAGGTCAAATCAGTGTAATGATAAAATGGTCTCTGAAGGAGCCATGAATTCATGAGTAACATATGATTTATTTTCCCTCTTCAAATGTATTTAAATTTTTGTCAGAGCTGGGGAATACTTTATGCTTTTGGCCTACCCTGTGGCTTCTCTGTGATAATTTGGGTTTAATACAGCAAAATAGAGTGATTCCGCAGTGGAATCAATTTCTCTTTTGGAGGTCAGTTTTGTTTCTATATAGTCTCGAACTCTAGAGTGTATTGATATTTCTTCCAGGCTGTACATATTCAGACTTTTAGTGGGACAGGATTCACTCCTAGTGAGCAATAAAAATCTATGAAACAAACTGCTCCTGGTGGCACATGCTTGTAATCCCAGCATGGAAATAAAGGGGCAGGAGAATCCTAAGGGCTTTAAGTCAAGTCCAGTGTGGGTAACAAAGTGAGACCCGGGCTCAGAAATCAAAACAATAACTGTTTGAAACTTAAAAGTATTACAAATTCTTGCATCATGCCACGAGTAGGTAAAAATCCCTTTAGTGATAATGGCTAAAATTATACATGCTTTAAAAGGTATTTAAATGAGTCTGTGATGCAGCTATAATTGAGAGTCTACCTCAAATTATAGGACCAATCTTTAATGGAATCATGGTAGCAGGGATTTCTCATCTCTGGACATCATTTGTACATATCCAATCACCTGAGGAGAAACCATAGAGTAGGAGATTGTTAGGAATGAGTGTGGAGGGCTTTGGAGTTAATTCCATAAAGGAATAGGATAGCCTGGAGTTGAACTGGTTTGTTAACAGGAATTCCTGACTTCAGTGCTTCAATTTAAGTCCCTTTGACATAATGAGTTCGGGAATGAGAAGCAAAAGAAAAAGGATAGAGACTTTTCATGAAATGGAGAGACAAGATAATAAAGCCAGAATGATGGGTAGGTGGCAGTGTCCCTGCTGTGATTCCTAAGGACACAGTGACTTGAAATTCAACATGAAAAATGTAATCCTTTTGACTTAAAACTCTGAGAGTCTCCTTTGACTGATCTCATCAGATCCCTGCCTGAAAAGACATTGTGATGAGATGGAGACAAAGGAGGTGGGAGAGAAAGACATTGCCAAAGAGACCACACTTAGGATGTTTCACCATCAGCTCCTAGACAAACACTGCCTCCTCGATTTGCCACCATTTGAAAGAAAATTGTTCAATCCTCGAATGAACTAATTACTATTCTATGCATCTCTCTCTGGTAAGGAACTCTTTGGTTCATGCAGCCAATGCTGCTCTTTCCTGACTTGGGCAGAAAACAGCAGGAAATCAGCCTCATCCCTAGGCCTAGTGGGAGATGAGGATTTTCCTCTGATTCCAAGTGTGGCCTGTAGCCAGTCTCCAAACAGCTTTAATTTCCTTGTATGTCAAACCAAGATAAATAGCTTCTCTTCCCCTCCCACTCACTACATTGCAAAGCATCCCTTTTGCCATCTTCATCAACCTTCTCCAGAGATTAACAGAAGAGAGCTTTTGAGAATGTCTAAGAGGAACTATTTGTGTTATTAATGTGGTCTTCCTGCTGCAGGGACTGTGTCGCACTGGGAGAGGGGCGAGAGTAACAAGGTGGATAATATCAAACACAACAAACTTGCTCAGGAGGCAGTGTTTGTAGTGGAAGAGAAACATCAAAGAGGGTTTGGGATTGGGGTGCAAGGAGAGAAGTCCACAATTGGTACCAGATGCCATCAGAAGCTAACGACCTGACAAACACCGTCCTCATAAAACAAATTCCTTTAAAAGGAAGTAAATGGAAATATAAGCTAGTGAAAGAATTTGCAGCAGCTGCCACAAAAACCATTTCTCACTTCATAAACAGGTTTGGTTTTTGTTCTCTAGGTCTGTGTCTCTGTCTGTGTCTCTGTGACTTTGTCTCTGTCTCTCTCTCTCTCTGTCTCTCTCTCTGTCTCTCTCTCTCTCTCTCTCTCTCTCTCTCTCTCTCTCTCTCTCTCTCCCCCCCCCCCCCTCTCTCTCTGTCAATCAGTTTGTCTCTGGTCATGGTCTTACATCATAACAATTTTTTCCTTTTGTGCAATTCTTGTCATGAGTTCTTCTCTGCTGCCATTGCTGGACATACTCCTGATACACTCCTGATGCTGTATAGATGCTGGTAATAGCAGGAACCAATGTGGTTCTAGCCATACTGATGGAAGTAGGGTCCTGTGCATTGCTCACTCTTCATCTTGTCTCAGCACGTGCTTGCTTTTCATCATGCTGTTGATTCATCAGATAAAACCACCATAAATAGCATGTGTCCTTTCATACATGGTCCTTGGGAATCATTTGACATGAACCAGAGAGTTAATGACCCCTTTTTATCCCTTCCTGCTCAAAATGATAAAGGAGATGCAGTGGTTTGATGATGAATAACATATAGAACTTATGGATTTATAGTTCTTTGGCATTGTGAAGAAAGTATTCTGATCTCAGCCCAAAGACAGTGATGTTTTGACTCCCTTATCCAAATGTCGGGTATCACTCAGAGACAGCCTCCTTCCTTATATTGCATACCCTCTGGTCAGCACTGGAATTTGGGCATTCATGGTTAGTCATTAACAATCTTCCTTTCCTCGGCTTATATTTTTTCCTTCTTTCATTGGGTTGCATGGATATGATATCATCATAGGGAATAGCTATGATATAAGACAGAAAAAAGATCCCTTCACATCATGCATCTTTACTTCTTTCATCCTCTACCTCTCAGGCATGCACAGAAGAAATGAGAAAATCACGAGAATAGTGTTTAAACTCATGCATCAGAGATAGCCATTTATCACAGTCAGATCAAATATACCTCTTAAGGGGCTACTGCTTTTAAAACCATCACTCAATTATCGTAGGATCTAGGTACATATTTGATGACATTTTATTTTCTACTTTCTTATACTGTTGTCCAATTGTCTGATAAAGTCATTGACAACTAATACAAACCAAGGGCAAGTTTAGTATAGCATTGATGATGACTGATAGCTATATTCTCTAGTGATTATCATCACTGGCAAGGATAACAAGGGTAAGAAAATATGTTATTAGTCTTTCTCACTAGAGTGAGTTCCTATAGGGCACAGTCTTTGTTATACCACCAGTGCTAGTCCAATGTCATGCAAAGAACATGTCCCTTGGTTGTGAGATAATTCCACTGCAGAACACAAATGGATATTTCTGAAGCCAAATAGAAAGCCTATATCACTGCATGAAGAATTTTCCCAAATTCTGCAATGCTGAGCCTTACCATTGTCTCACTTTTATGCACAAAACCATACCATGTTGACACTCTTTGTTAGCAAGAACATTTAGTGAGAAGCAAAACTACAGAAGCCAAAAAGTAATGTTAGTACATCTAGGGACTTTCCTGGATCCTGGAACTATAAATTAGGTCTTTGATGGATTAGGTCTTTGTTCTTTTGGAAGATATTGGAATCTATATGCTGGTCAGGTGGTTCCTCTAACATGGTATCAGTTATGGTAAGGTCTCCGGGTCTGTAACACTTTGTGTTTAGTAGTGAATGAATGATTGGGGCAGAGTGGTTGAATTATTGTTGCATAATTATCTTTCATGTGATTTTACACATTTTCCGTTTTAATAACATGTATTAGCTTTGCTATATAAAATAGTAATAAATTTAATTAAGCAAGCTTTTATTGTATCTAGTACAGCCAAGTATATGGTGATTTAAAATTGGACAAGAAGAAATATTTCTCTTTGAGAAGTTCATACTCCCACTGTGAGATTAAGGACACAGTCAGATGATAATTGCCTTGTGGGTAATTGGATGAGTAAACTAATTAAGTAATTTAAGTACAAGAAAATGTATATATAATAAGATCAAGTAAAATGATTATTAGAAGGAAGTTATTTTTTATATTTATACTAAGAGATTTGAAGGAAGACAGTAAGTGTGGAAAGGTTAATTCTTGGAGAAGAAAGGCCTTTTAGAAATCTTGTCAAACTCAAGCAAAGTGTGGAAGTGAGAGAAATAAAAGAAAAGGAGCCTAATAGGAAGAAGATACTGAGATGGGGGTTGGACCTTTGTCAGCAAGAGCAAAGGGGCTAACCTGGGAAGAGTCTCAGTCTTGCAAGGTGTGTCCCCTATAAATCTTCTCCCCCAGGAAAGGATCTGAAACATTAGCGTGTAAATAACTCAGTCTATGTGGTGCAAGTGCTAAATGGTGGAGCCCGGACTGAAGTCTGGTGCTAATGCTTTAGTTAAACTCTGTGTTTCCACTGCAGTGGAGCTACACTCTTCTTGCCTTGTTCTTTGTAGCCTTGCTCCTGCTGTTATAGTCCAGGCTGAATCTCCTTGAATCTTGGAGAGTCTGTATATCTCTCAGGCTACTTATGAATGACCCTACTGGTCTAAGAAGTAATTCTCTACTAAGGAGATATCTCTGGAAGTCCCTGGCATGATGTCAAGCATATGATGGGGATTCAATTCATAATGTCAGATTTCCTTAGCTTGTGTTACTCTTCAGTGATATGTACCAGTAATTGGAATGTTTCATATTAACAAGACTGTGATCTCTGATACTCAACCTCTTCATATAGGCACCTAGGACTTCCTTGTGATCAGTTATCTAAAAGGCCAGTGCCTGATGAAATCAGGGATCTCCTGGTTCTATTAGTCCTGGGTCTATTCCAATTGCTTGGAACCTAGAAATATTGTTGTTTAATGTTTCAAGCATCATTCCTTGGTCTATTTATTTCAAAGACTGTCTAAAATACCAAGAACTAATTTTTTTACCTCATCTCATTATCATTGACTTTCCTGGAAGGCCACAGAAAGTTAGCTGTCATAGTTTAATATTATCATGCTTCATAGTTCTCAGTGACATAGAACAAAGTGATGAATTCCATTTAGGCTATAAATAAAATCTTTCTGCAAATCATTGTTCAAAGATATATATTGCTACTATTTCACCTTTTCCTAAGATGCTTCTGTTTCTGCCATCCTCAGCTGTGCTCAACAACCTTGTGGAGAACAGGGAAGATGTGTGCCATTGCTACTTGATCATACAGACATGGTGAATTGTACCTCCAGTAGCCCAGGTTACATGGAGTGTGCTATCACTTGTCAAAGAGGGTATGTCCTTCAGACCAGCAGTGGGCAGTACCTCAGGAACATGCAGGTAAGTTGGAAGCAGATGACCAGAAGGAAGGATTTCCTGAGGCAGGAATCTATCTATCCTCTTCTCTCTGGCTAGACTGGGTGTTCTTAAACCTTTGAAAATGAAAACCTGTGATCTCTATGAAAGTAATAAGAGGGAAGTACAGAAATCCAAGGTGTCCAACCATGCAAAACTCTGACTCTCTTAGGTGTTAGTTTGCTCACTGTATGGGCAGTAGATATGAGTTCTTATTCAATGGTCCCTCAACTTGCCTTTTCTTCACTGATGTTAATGTCTCAAAATAGACTTGCTCTTAATTCACAGCAAGATAGATTACTGTCACTTATCTGAGGTTGATTGTAACCCTTGTGCTCCCCTGATCCCCTTTTAATATTGTTGGAGAAATATGACCAAATCGTACTCCAAAACATTACATTCATAACCGAGGTAGGGGTTGTATCATGGTAATAAGTTTTCTCCATTTTTACATATCCCATTCCGAGTTTCAACTGCACCATTTTCAGGATTTAGAGTTGGCTCAGGGTGGTAAAATATACTAGTGAAGAACAAAGTTCAAGAGCCAGAGCTAGGAAAAGTATTTGTCTCCATTATCTTTGAGGTGTATAATAGTAAGAACAAACAAAATAAAACTATTCCTTTAAATTGTTTTTACATTTGTACATATTCCAAAGAGAAATATTGAACTTGAGTTATGACAATGGTTGACAAATATTATTTAAAATGCTTCAAAGATGAGCATTGGTGCCCTCTTTAGTAAGATTATTTTATTAAGAACAAGATATATATCCCTAAATAAAGGCTTGGTTCCCCAACTTCCCTTGAGAAAGCTTAAACATTCAATGGGGGAGTTTTGAGCACAAACAAACCATTGGAAAGCAGGCTCACATTATGAGACAGTGGAAGTACATGCTAGGTAAACTGCGACTGTGCTTGAGGAAAGAGCCAGAAATATTTGTGATCATGGAAGGAGAACAGGCACACCATTGCTAGTCAGACATTAATGGCCTGAGACCTGGAAATGTTTCAGTTTTGTGCCCATTGATTTCTTAGCAGTTTGTGAACCCAGTGGAAGAATTTCATTTGCCCAGATACAGTCAGAATTTAAAAATATGGTTGTGTTTTATGAAAACACCTAGTCAAAAACAGTTTTAATGAAGATTGGGGCAGCAAGTTGTTCATCTAGAAAGATTTTCTATCACCTGGTTTTAACTCAGGCAAAGGTACTTCATGCTGAAAACAAAATAGAAATAATTCTACAAGTTAGGGACTAAATACATGTGTATAGTAGGTTAAGAAGATCAGAGGAGAAAGGCTATATTTGTCATGCTTTAAAGTTGGACAATAAAAAAAAATATGGGCAATATCCCAAAACGTCATGAAGTTTCCAAAAAGGCATGAAGTTTAGAGATAGACTTTAAATGATTAGTGGTTTGCTGCAGTTTGAACCAGGCCTCCCAACTGTGCTAAGTATGACAGGAACCTGATTAGAAGAAAGATCAGGGCTCACATTTGCCAAACTCCTAGTGGAGGAAACAATGGCGCCCTCCAGCTGACCAGTCACTGTCACCCGATGGTGGCCCCATGCAGGAAATTGTACAATCCTGCCTCATGATCACAAGACAGTGGGGATATTTGCTTTCTGTTGACATGAGAACTGAAGCTAAATAGAAAAATGTGTGTGGCTTTGACTTGAATCCCTCTGGCTGGCAACAGAGACACACTGGGAAGCAGAGGAAAGCACTGAGCCAACATGTAGCGTCAGAGGTGAAAGGTGCTTCAGCAGTCATTGGACCCTTTGCTGGGTGTAAGTGTGGTCTCCTGATGGGCTGCCTGTAGTTTTACCACAGAAACTCTTTTGTTCATCTTTGATCTTTAGCCCCACTGCCAGATACTTGTTTTTTTCCCCCAATAAGCCATGACTTTCCCAGTCACTAAGTGCCTGTTCATTTCATACCTGACCAGTTGCCTTCTTCCACTTCCCCTGAGCTGCTCAAAAGTCATGATCTTTCAAGACCAGTGCCTGTGTCGAGTTCCTTTTGCCTGAGGGTGGCAGGTCCTCTTGGAGCATCCTTGGGTGCTGCCCTTCATTCTCACACAATACTATACCATAGGATTTGTCTTTTCCAGGGTCATTGCTTTCTTCCAGAATGTTTTTGACTTCTCTTATTCCTAATTTGTATTCTTTATGTTGAAGTCTCTCTAATCTCTAATCATTGTAGAAGATTGTAAAGATTATTTTAGATTAGACTAAAATATGTTGTTAGTACTGCCAACTCCCTATTTCCTTTCTTGCCTTTTCCTTTTGTTTTTTGTTTGTTTGTTTTAATCCATTGTTTCAGTGATCTTCTCTCATAGATGTTTAGCTCCTGGAAGGCATCATGTTTAGTGCAGGACCAGGTCTTTCTGGGCACTCCATGCATGTCTTCTTGTTTACATAATGGCAATGGGCTGTAGGCCTATCAATTGAAATGACAAGTTTGGGAACATGGCCAGACTCACCCTCATATCCCATGGATAGTGGCATCTTGTGTGAATTAACTCTCTTAGATAGCATTCACCATTCTTGACATAAGTCATTATTTTTAGTAGCGTTATCTCTTACTTATTTTTTTTTTACCTTGGGCTTTTGAGAGAGGATATCAACACCCTCTAATACAGTCTAGTGTTGAGTTCATGTCAACTTTCTCTAAAGTAGGTAATTTGAGAGTTTATAAACAGACTTCTTAAAAAGGTTTGGGCAGGATGTAAGGAAGTGTCAAATGATGTGCAGCAGCCCAGGGTTATAGGTGTCTGCTCTCCTTGAGCCTGGAAGATTGACTCCATGGAGCAAAGATCCTATGAGGTGGAAAAACAGAACAGGGCAGAAAAGATAGATAGTCATAGGATGAGTCAGTCAGCAGCAGTCCCTTTAGTAGAGGACAGGAAGAATAGGAACCCAGGGATCCCTTATCTCTTGTCCTCTCCAGTCTGTCCCCAGGTCCCAAAGTGGATATTCAAGCACCAGTAGGGGGTTTGCGATCCTGGGCCCAGACCAGGTAGGTCAGAGACTGAAACTAGATGGTTCAGAGCCAGGAAAGGACAGCCTGAGATGTGCCTTGGGAGAACAGTACCCTAGAGTTCCTAGTACAAACAAGTTCCTACCAACGGCATCCCCCTGAAGCTGGACTGAACCAGTAAGTCATAGGAAAGGACAAAGGGACAAATGACCACCAGGACTCTTCCAAAGCTAGAAAGTGATTTCTGATAGCATTATATGTGACTTTGACATAAGTAAATTCTGTTTCTAGAAAGAGATTCTTGTCATTTGTTCCTCTGGCCGCTGGGACAAGGATGTGAACTGCAAACGTCTTGACTGTGGTGTCCCAGACTCATCCTTGGTGAATTATGCAAACTTCTCCTGCTTGGAGGGTACAGACTTTCTGAAACGCTGTTCCATCTCATGTGTCCCACCAGCCAAGCTCCAAGGTACTGTCTGGCCAGCCTGGGAACCGAATGTGAGCTTCCATCATCCCTCACTCTTGGGGTGGGGTGGAGTATCTTTGAACTTTTTTGTCACCCGTATATACTTGAACTTGCTGTTCTCTGATCTCTTCTGACAATACAAAATCCCCTCAGATATCACCATTCTTTGTTTCAGAAAATGTCTAAAGATATCCTAGATTAGGGAGTCATTAACAATAAATGAGACTTAGTCTTTGTTTTTTGTTTCTATATACATTCTTGGAATGAAAACCATCAGCACAATTGTCGTGATATTAACAACTGAGGTTCATGTTATTAAGTTTTAATGCCCAGAGACATTCTGCATTAGGTGTGTTTTGTTTCAGTTTGTAGATAAGGAGAACACAGTTACACAATGTATCCCTGGCTGTGTGTGTACTTGAGATAGAGAGGTGCTGGAGCAGGCTCTAACTGACCACCAGACCTTGCTCTTTTGCTACACTTCTTAGCCTTCAGTGCATCACCCAATGAGTCGTTGCACATGCAGGTTCCTTAGCCTTACTCTGAGATGTGCTGTAGTACGTCGGCAGGTTAGTGATCCTAATGTCGACAGCTCTATTTTATATAGGAAGAAACCAAATTACAGAAAATAATATGGTATGATATTGAAGTTCAGAACTCTGTATCCAAACAACCTATCCCAGTCTCAGGCTCTGCTTTTGTAAGTAAAGGTGAATTTCATTTCCTTATCTATCTTATAGGAGATAGCTGGAATCTATTTGATATGGTTGTTTACTGTTTGGGATTTATTCATGTTCACCCACACAGAACTTTTAGAATAGTGCCTCATATATAATCACCATTAAAATACGAACTGTGATTACTTTAATGCCACCTACATAACTATTATTGTTATATATATATTTGCTACTCATAGATAGGAGGGGAGGCAATGATTTGATTGGCAGCTCTTCTTCCACTGAGTCTAGGGAATCTTTATGTGATTCTATGGTATGTGAGACCTCAATGAGAGCTGTAGAGTAAGAACATACAGGATCCACATTTGATGGGAGATTTTAGAGACACTACTCAACAAAGAATAATGGGACTTAAAGAGAGCTAGTAGAGGCATAGTTTAGGGTTCCTTGTACTGTAGTCATGAGCTCTCTGTTCTGAGCACCATGTAATTCTCTTTCCTGGAGTCAGGACTGAACCCATGGCTGACATGTCTTGAAGATGGACTCTGGTCTCTCCCTGAAGTCTACTGCAAGTTGGAATGTGAAGCTCCTCCAGTTATTCCAAATGCCAATCTGCTCCTGCCACATTGCCTGGAAGGCAACCATGATGTGGGCACCATCTGCAGATATGAATGCAAACTGGGCTACTATGTGAAGGAGAGTTCAGGAAGTCAAGGCAAGAAGTGAGTGTTCATGTATTTGGTCCCATGGTTTCCTTACCTTGCACCATGATCCTGCTCCCTTGTGGCAAATTGTAGATCATGTCTTTCTGGGATACCCATGGCTTATTGTGTGTGTGTGTTTCAGTATAACTTCTCTATATCTGCACAGACAGACTTACCGGTCATGACAGACATGAGTTCAGGCGGTTCCTATAAATGCATTGCCTCTCATGAAAGATTCCATAGTTTTACATAAGTGTTTGGGGAGGACACCGATTTTATTGTCATTTTCCTTGGCATTAAAATGATGAACCTCTTGAATAGAGTACTTAGACCATCCAAGTTCAGCTGAATGCGAGCACAATCTCAGTAGTATAATTCAAATCTGAGGTTTATGGAGATGTGCCCGGCTGAGCCCCAGGGTGCTTATTATAAGTGTAGTGTGTGTGTGAAAGGTTTCTTTCTCAGCCTCAGTTTCCCTAACTGGGAAATGAAAGAGCTGATGAGGGAGCTTCTTGAATGAATAAAACAGAACTTGAGCTCCTTTTAAGCAGAATGTGACACCTTTAGCCATCACCATGGTTATTCTTGTCCTTCTGCTTTTCTTCCATAAACTTTGTACAGCAATCAGAGTGGTGGGAGCTGAAGCAGGACACGGTGCTTGGGGATGAGCTAAGGGGGTAGAGATGACTGACATATAGGGTGGAGGAGAAAGAACAGAACATTTTAGAATGGGAGAGTTAAGGGTGGAGAGGTAACAGCCAGTTCTCTGAGCTCATAGCTAAGCTTTATGCTGGGAAAACTGGGCTTGCACAGGGGATTCTGGGTTGTCTGTCTCCGCCCCACATGCCTGTCTCTGGGCAGAGGCACTTGAGAGCCATTTGTGGACACAATTTTTCTGGCTGGGAATCTGGATGATTGCATCAGAATGTCACCATCAGTTTGGTCTTAAACATTTACATTCGCAAGCACCATGCTAAGTTGAGATTAAATTATTTACCATGCTGCGTAAACCGATGAAATGTTAGTTTACACCTGTTTATATAGCAGGCGACGGATCGGTAATCAGAAGTTTGCAAGTTGAGTATAAATCACTGTCGCTTGCCACGTATGTTTACCCAGTGAACTCTGCCCTCCTTGCTTTACTTGTGTGGAAAAAGCCCAAAGCCGGATAGATGGAGCACTAAAATTCTTCTTAAGACACACACTTCAAAAGAGAAGAAACAGAAAAGCAGTCAGGGAAGGCAATCACAAGAAAGCAAGCACAGGGTGATTTGTAGTTGTATGAAGCAGTGTGTGTGTGTGTGTGTGTGTGTATGTGTGTGTGTGTGTGTGTGTGTGTCGGGGGAGCAGCACAGCTGCTTGAGGGTTCAGGTTTGCAACTGATTTGCCTGGTAATAGGCAATTCAGTATGTCCACATGCCTTAAGTTTTGTTTTCATAATGGAAAGTGGAATAATCATTTCTATGGAGTTGTTTGGGTTTTGGAAGTGAGGTGATGAATTGAAAGTATTCTATAAGTTATGAAGTTCAAAACATATGCTATGCTAGGTGCTGCTTCTTTTTTTTTTTTTTTTTTTTTTTTTTTTGGTTTTTTAAGACAGGGTTTCTCTGTATAGCCTTGGCTGTCCTGGAACTCACTCTGTAGACCAGGCTGGCCTCGAACTCAGAAATCCACCTGCCTCTGCCTCCCAAGTGCTGGGATTAAAGACATGTGCCACCACTGCCCGGCCTAGGTGCTGCTTCTTATTTATTTATTTTGTTTTGGGTGTTTGAAATAAACACTGGATCTGACTTTGTATTCCAGCCTAGTTTTGAAATCAAGCAATCCTCCTGCCTTAATCTCCTCAGTGCTGCGTTAATGGGTGTTAGTTAGCATGCTTGACTGTTCCTTTCTTTTTAAAAGAAGGAAATTTGTTATTGCAACAGGAATTAAGCCTGAGTTCTGATGGTCTTCTGAGCTCTCTTACATTTTGTCCCATTCTGCCTGCTCTATGCCATGTTCTAGGTTAATAATAAAGAAAGGCCAAAGCACCAGACCCAGGCAGTGATGCCTAAGGACAGAGCCAAAGCTATGGATAGTGGCACAACCCTGAAATTCCCAGCACATGAGAGGTAGAGGCCAGATGATTAGGGGTTCAAAGCCAACCTTAGGTAAAGAACAAGTTCAAGGACAGCCTGTGCTACATTATATTAGTTCTACAAAAAGCAAAGCAAAATAAAACAGAAAGGCAAAAAAAAAAGCAAACAACAAACAAAACATTAAACACTTCAAAAAGTCAGACATGCTCAGTATTATTAGGGCACAATAGCCACACCTGCATCCTAAAACTCCTTCTTCTTAACTCTATTGACCTCCTGCCCCAGTTTTTCTTCTTGCTCCCTGTCTCTTCTCAATTTCTGTCCCCAGCTTTCTTCCTTCCGCCTGATTTTCCTATGGCTATTTTTCTCTGAATTTTCTTTTTTTCTCTTTTAAAACAAGATTTATTTATTTTAATTTCTGTATGTGTGAGAGGCTGCATGAATTTATATACACCACTTGCATGCAGTTACCCACAGATATGAATATCAGAACAGATTCAGATCCCCTAGAATCGGAATTACAGTAGATCGTGAATCACAAATATGGGGGCAAGGAAGCAAACCCAGGTCTTCTGCAAGAACAGCAAATGCTCTTAACCACTTAGCTGTCTCTGGTCCTCTCTTTTCCTTCTTGATCTGCACACTAGACAGGGTTAAAACTTTTTTAGTCCATAGCCTTGATTATGATCAGGTGTTGATGGTTTCCAGACCCATGCCTACCATTACAAACTCTTACCTCAATAGTTATAAGGGTGCCACAGGTCAGATACCTAGGGATGCATACACTGGAGTAACCCATCTATGTCCCAGATTCCTAACTGTACAGAGTAGAGCCTAAGAAATTATTCTAAATCTGCACATTTCTCTGCTCTGTGGTGCTGGTGGACCCTGAAGCCTGCCTAGCACTTAGGAGTCTACAGTGTTCTTTGTTCTCTAGTCAGTTAACCAAGCTCCCACCAAGTGGGTTATATTACTTTTGGCCTATAATATTTACAATGGATTAATTAAGATTTGCCTCCACTGTAAGGCAAGGCACATATACACTGTGGGGTATGATACAGGCACTAGCACTTTGAAAATTTCCTCGAATTCATTTGGTGCTCATACCTTCACAGTGACAATCCACATAATTTTACCTCTTTGCCTCTTTGTTTGCCATTTCTTCCACATACATGCCACTGTTCATCACCACTTTGTGATGTCATTAGCCTCACTTCTAAGGAAGCTAAAACAAATGTGTCTGACTTATATTTTATTAAAAGACCATGTTGTAGTCTCCATTATCGTTTACTCCCACGGCTGCTTTTGTCTCATTACATGTTATCCTTATATGTGAAGGTTAGAGCATCCTCATTAGGGGCCCTAATTGATTAAATTCTCAATTATTCTGGGCTTCTGACTTTACCTGATAGTCTTTCCTATAAATAACTCATAACAGTATCATACATAAGATAGTATAGAAGTCAGATCTTCTCAAAGGAGGTGCAAATGGCCATCCACTGTATTTCTCATGACATCAACTTTTCCAAAGTGTACGAGTATACACACACATACACACACTCATATGCACACACACATGCACACACAATGTTACAAACACAACTGAAAATCGAAACTGTAGGCCTCACATTGTGATTGCTTACTGTTGCGTAGTGAACACTTTTGTCCAATCTGATTCGTGGGGAGAGAGTGGAAGAGGTAGAAACTACGTGTGTATTTCACCTATCTCTATACACAAAGAAAGTCTGCTTGAGATGGCAGAGAATTAAACAGCCTAAGTCCAGAGGACTCTTCTGTTGTTTGGATGAGAACCATGGAGGTGAGAATGATTCCTTACTATGTGTGACGAGTGCAAGAACTCTGGCTACCTCACTCTGTATACCAGTCTTATGGAAATAATTTATCTTATTTTTGATGAAATACTAGCACAACATCATTTGTTAAAGTAGTATATAAATTGAGGTAAATATGAATATATGTGTATGTATAGACATATAAGTGTATGTGTATATACTATATAATATATATTATTATCTATTATATGTTATAATATATGATGAAACAGACTCAAAGTTGGGTGTTACTTGTGATCATTCTGCCAATAAATGGCCTCATGAAGATTAAAGTCATCCTAGCACCAAAGGCTACACTCTGAGCTCATAACACTTTTGTTCATGAGCAAACAAAAATTCATTTTTCTGGCCTTTTTATCCACATTTGTAAAATAAACTGTTAAGTGACTTCTAATACTAAAAGTTTGCATTTTATATCTTGCGTCAATAAAACAAATTAAAAGGGCTAAGGCTTTGCCATACTACCATTGAAAAAAGTAATATGTAATTTGTTACACCAAAAATCCAATGATTACTATAAACAAAAATACTGTACAACTTGAATTTAGTAGAAAATACTTAGCGTAATCTCACAATAATTCCCAGAGAACTTGGTCTGAATAAACAGCTGAAGCTTACATTCATCCACAGGTCTGGATCTACATGTGATTTGAAAACAGAATACTAGGATTTTTTATTAGTATCTTTAATCTGTTTTTTACAGTCCAGTTGTTATGCCCCTCCCCATCTGTCCTTTGATAGTTCCTTATCCCATTCCTCCTCCCCATGGTCTTCAAGAGAATGTCCCCCTGCCCCTGTCAGGCCTCCCCACTCCCTGGGGTCTCAAATCTCTAAAGGGTTAGGTATATCTTCTCTCACTGAGTCCAGACCGGGCAGTCTCCTGCTGTATATGTGTTGGGGCCTCATATCAGCTGGTGTATGCTGCCTGGTTGATAGCTCAGTGTCTGAGAGATCTCGGGGGACCAGGTTAGTTGAGACTGCTGGTCTTCCTATGGGGGTCACCTTCTTCTTCAGCTTCTTCCAGCCTTTCCTTTTTTATTTTCCTTTTTAGAGCTATAGAATTAAGAGAACCCTAAAAGTGTTAAAG